ACTAATGGATAAATTAAGTTATACAGTTTGATACAAATTATTTTGTTATAATGTATTGTTTCACAAATTAACACCAATAATTTTTTGCACCAAGTTAGTGCAACTCCGATTGACAATAAATGATAAGATACGGGTACTTTTTCTGAGTAAACATTAGGTATAAATATATCTGATACTGTAATAAATAATATGTAACATTTTTACCATTTATTTAAACATAATCATCATAATAATACCATGTGAATGTTAATAGGTTATTTCTAAATACTAAACTGATTCCTACAAAGCTGTACTCAATATATAATGTATATATAACAATTTATATCTAATGTTTACTCAGAAAAAGTACCCGTACCTTATCATTTATTGTCAATCGGAGTTGCACTAACTTGGTGCAAAAAATTATTGGTGTTAATTTGTGAAACAATACATTATAACAAAATAATTTGTATCAAACTGTATAACTTAATTTATCCATTAGTAATATCCTACTAAATATACACCCAAATTAGGCTATCGTTTCTGAATGCCGACCACAAGTCGTTTTGCCTGACAGAGAGGCCGACCCTTATTGAAGACTACGGGGACGTCAGTGTCGGTGACTCTGGAGAAGCGGAACTTCTGTGAAATCTTCGCTAACGCGAGCTTTGCTGACAATAACGCGAATCGCATTCCAATGCAATTTCGTGGACCCGATCCGAAAGGCAGGTAAGTGTAGGCTTTGATATCATCCCGGTTTTCGGGCATAAACCTATCCGGGTTGAAGGTAAATGGACCCGGATAGTGGTCGGGGTCGTGATGTATGGCATAGAAAGGAATTTCGGCGATCACTCCCTTCTCGATCTTTACTCCAGTGTTGCCTAACATTACGTCTTCCATGGCTTCCCTCTCGAGTCGAAGTAATGGCGGATAACTGCGAAGAGTTTCCGATATGAGTGCGTAAATGAATGTTAGTCTCGACAGCACTTCGTAATCGATTTCTCCCTTTTCATTGAACACGTCTTTGGTCTCCTCATAGAGTCTGTCCTGAAGTCCCGGATTGAGTGCCAATTCATACGTACAGTACGACAGAGTAGTGGCAGTTGTCTCGTAACCGGCGACGAAGAAGAGGAAACATTGCGCTAATATCTCGTCTTCAGTCAACTTCTTCTCCAATACATTACTGAAGGCCTCGGCATCGGCTGTGAAGTCATCCTTACCCTCATTCACATGATGTGCTTCAAAGGCATCACTGGCTTCTCGTATGTCTCCTTCAGATCTCTCGACATCCATTAATAGCTGCAGAAAATCGTTGTGTTTTTCTTTATTACACTTCGCGTGAAATCAATGAAAAAGTCTGCATCAGAAGAGTCGGCATTTACTATACGCAGGAATATACTGACAATAAATGTGGGCAAAAGCAATGATAACATCCCTTTCCAAAAAGGAATATTAAACAGATTGTCAGCTGTAGTGGTGAACGGGTTGTTAGGATCGGCGTATGTATTGGTTTTGGTAGCGAAGGGACAGCTGGCGATCACATCCATAGTGTAGGCGCCCATCAGTTGCTTCAACTCGACTTCATTCATACCTTTCGACACATAGTGAACGGGTTGTTAGGATCGGCGTATGTATTGGTTTTGGTAGCGAAGGCACAGCTGGCGATCACATCCATAGTGTAGGCGCCCATCAGTTGCTTCAACTCGACTTCATTCATACCTTTCGACACATTGTTATCTAAGTTATTCAGAAAGTCTTCGCAGCAATGGTTGATAAGACCATACATCTTCTTCATCTTTGTTGTTTTCATGCTATGTATACCCAAACAGTTTGCCATATTTCTTATACCACTCCATCTCCACAAATGGTCGCGCTTTTAGGACAGGACTCAAAACATTTCCGAATATAGGTATGGGTTTTGGACCAGAAATCTGTCGGTCCTTCCAATAACTTAAGGCATTTTTCCACGAACTGAATGAATGAGTATTTAATTATTAATTATATATAAATTGGATTTAAATGATATAAAGTGGATGTCTTACAAGTGATAATAGGCGAGTACTGCCACAATGAGTCCAATGAGACACCACTCATATACCTGGGATATCGGCGCCAACACTGACCACAACAAAAATGTCATAATTGAATCGATGTTTATTACTATATAATATAACTATTTTAATTAAAATAATTAATAGCCTATTAAAGTATTATAGTAGTTTCTGTTACTCTTGTATTGAAGTTTTGAAAATGTTTACTGTCTCCTTTTATAGCACATATGAACACCAATAAATGATAAGGGTACTTTTTCTGAGTAAACATTAGGTGTACTGAGTACAGTTTGGTATAACTGTAATTAATACATGTATGATACATGACAGAAAAAATATCATTTTTAACAAACATTTGTAACATGGCCATTTTTATATAAAATGTTTCGTCGAAATATATGAAATATATTTTAATTAAATATACTGTATATGAGGCAACATAATATAAATAAAACCTTTATAAAATCTTCATTAAATACTTGATTATAAATGCAGCTTACGGCTACTCAAATATAATGTATCTATTTTCTAAAAATAGGTTTTAACCTAATATTAGTAACTAATTTGAATGATAATGATTATGATGTGGTGAACGTTTTATTTAAGTAGTCGTATGCTATCACATATTTAATGAAGATTTTGCAAAAGTTTTATTTATATTATTTACATTAAATACTTTTTATCTACAATTATTATTTTACCTAAATGAATTGTATTTTTCAAATGCCTTATGAAATGAGTGAGTTAAAAGCACTTTTCATATACGTTAACATAGTATATGAATTTTCTCATAAAGAATATTCTGGACCCTATTTGAGATTAAAAACCTACTAATATTGACCAGAATAAGTACAGAATTACATCAGTAACTGTTCAAATTAGATCCCAAGTGATCAAAATGACCTTGTCCTTTTAAGTAGGTATTATTCTGGACGCATAACACTCACCGGGGGTATCATATTCTTGAACGACGAGAAAACGTCAGAACTTCTGACTCTCTGATAAAAGGAAAATGTGCCTGTTCCTAACACCACCACTGTTAATACAACAGCCACGGACAACTATGTATGGGACAAATAATAGCAATTGGAAATGCTAAAATAAATGTGTGTTTAAATAATACAAAACCGGACATTCAACTTTGCTTTTATATATCGTATGAGTCCGAGTTGAATGTCCAGTTTTGTAATATAATCAAGCACATATTACGAATTAACATACATCTTGCGGGACAAACTCAATTCCATAGGATATATAGCTGCCAATGGCGGCGGCCCAAAGTAGCAAGGCAAAACCTGCCGTAATCTCCTCTACGAATATTAGCCAATAGGGGGTCTGTTTGGGAGGCGTGAAGGCGTTAGGGCCGTACTGGGCCAGCCTTGCCTGTAGTGACAAACAAGGTCAAATTTTAATTCAAAAGTAAACATAGTTTTTTACAAATATAATCTACCAAATTTTATGTATTTAATTATTAAATTTATAAAATTCAACAAATGTATCCTGGTCATATGATCAAGGTAGTCATACCTTTGCCTCTGTCTCTGATATACCATTTTCATGGTGTGTCCCCAGTTTAGCGCACAACTCCTCCAATGACAGTAAATGTTCAGTAATTTTCACATTTTTGGCTAATTCTAGATTTGTATCTTGGTCATTCTGTAAGAAATACGTATAATAAATATTAATTATAATAAATAAGTTTTATATTATTATTAAAATATAATTTTATTGCGCGATTCACTGATTGCCTTGTAATCTATTAATATTATGTCTACTAACCTAACAATTAAAAAATAAATTTAATTAAAGCTCTTAAAAGTTCATTTACAGTTAATTTTACACTTATATGACGTGCAGTGATAATAAGTGCATTTATTATTACCGGTATATAATGTTATATGGTTTAATACAACAAAACAGACCTTTCAACTCTGCATTAATATGATTGTAACAGCCCTAATCAGTAGTGCACAGTCATTTGAAAGCAGATTTGAAAGGTATGTTTCGTTTTATTAAGCAAGATATAATTGTGAACTAGTTTCATACTAGTAATTTGTCAAATCATTTATAAACAATAATATTAGTCAACTTAGTGATTATGTCATGGAAACATTTTCTCAAATATATTATTATTGATTGAGTGTGTCTGCACTATATACGTATGTATATGGTTAGTAAATAATGCATCTAATGAGTTGGCTAAAATGGTGTAGACATGTATATTTTATTAATATACTATAGTATAACAATATATACATAGCTATACCAGTTTAGCAACTCATTAAATATCTAAATAAAATTCATATTAAAATTTTGGCGCTATTAATGTGTGAGTCACACGTTATGTCTGAACTCATAAAAAATAAAGTTATTTTTGAATATACTGGCAATATACTAGTTTTTTAAAGTAAACAAATTTATCAAAAAAGGGCGCACATGAAAAATTCTCAATTGCATAGTTTCGCCATGCTAATTTAACTGACATTAACATATAAGTATATACAGTATATATAAATTCTAAAATGTAATACTTTTTTATTGATGAGTCGCCGTAATTTCAAAACGTTTGGAAAATATTCGTAAAATTTCCTTTTAATTGTCTTTAAGTCATCGTTTGGCAAATTACTTGGATTTAATTCTTCAGCTGATTCAGAAATGTTCAGTTGGTACTTGCCCATTTGTTATTATGTCTAAGGTAAATTAAAATTTATATATATGATCATAAAATGTAAGATTAATTAAAACTATAAACACGTGTCAAATCTGCATTTAATATGTGTATTCAAAATGTGTATTAACAGCACTATTCAGTTATATTAAAGGAAAGTTGAAAGGTATGTTTCGTTTTATTATGCGGGATATAACTTATTTTTAAAAATATTGATAATATTGTTAAAAATATTCAATATATAAAGCCTATTCTATGAAATTGTCCATGTTAAAAATCAATAGCTTTTTATTTGTTACAAACTAGATAGACGAATTGTGTAAAATTTATTATTATTAATTTGGCGTAACATGGAATAATTGTCCAGGTAATATAATATAATAATTTAAAATTTAAGAAAACTTTATGCAATTTTACCTTTAAGTTGTTAATAATTTTTTAAAGATCCCAAAAACCAAATTGATTATATAATTAAATGTAATTTTTTTTAATTAAAAATGATTTTAAATTTTTTTAAATTACGCAAATAATATTTTTATCACATTACACATTTTATCATATAAATCTAACATATTATATGCGATATAATCCTATTTAATATATCTTAATAATTTTGAAGATATTTTTTCCACTTATAACGATTACCAGGTTTATTATATACTATTGAAAAACCCAGGATTTAGCTAATAAAAATAGGTGATTCTAGAATCATTTTACCATGCCCCACCCCACCCTTTTATGTCACTTTACTGACAAACTTTAACATAACTCCTATAATAATATGTAATTTTAAAACTTTAAGATAATTATATAATATTAGAAATTTCACAAATAAGTAAACTATAAATTCTTAGTTAGAATCGTGGTTAAATAGCACATTGTTTGTCAAACCTTGCTTTTATATTAAATGAAATTAATCTGCTTTTCATGGATTCAAAAATAGCTTTAATATACCTGTATATTTATTTAGTAATATACACATTTTTACTGTCTTTTACAATCTTGTCATAAGATTTTGTAATAAATATAAATTAAGAAATTATTTAACTCAGGGATCACCAGAAATTGTTTGAATTTTAAATGCTCAAGCTGTTTTTAAGCCAATGTTCCAATACAAAAAATATTTTAAAATAGTCTATCAATACAATTATATTGAGATTAAATTTAAAATTTTAAAAATATTTTAATTTAGTAAGGTGACTAATATGTCCAACTTTTATATACATTCAAATTTGATTAAAATAAGTTAGCTTTATAATTACATTTGGATTTTCATAATTGCCTAAAATAGCGTTTAATCTTATTTCGATGGCATTATAATAAATTCAAAAATTTCTAATTAAAAACAAAAATTGTAGCATGGCATTTAAATTATTTCACGCATTACTAGGACAACCCTAACCTAGAAAGGTTTTGGCGACATTAGTAATCTCATGAAATTAAGTGAAAAAACTGAAATCTCATTTTCATTTCACACAACCATTTGTGATGACAATGCGATGTGAATGTCAAGTGTGATATCAAATGTACACCTCGTGTTGCATCGTGAGTAAGGATATAAGTAATTGTCTAATAACTAAATAAGCTACAAACTAATGGTAAAGTTTCAACGTCATTTTCAACGTAACAATTAATGTGTTACACGACTATAAAGGGTTCAAAACCATTTGCAAGTCATAACCCCCAATTATATGGTACGTACAGATGAACTTCCCTTTTATATAACAAATTGTTTGTCATTTTTATTACAAATCTCTTCACAATTTTTGTTCAAAATAAATGTACAAAAATATTGCTACTATTTAATTAATTTATGAAATTAATTAAAATTACTTGCCACTATTAAAAATTATTTTTAAATTAATGAAACAATTATGTAAAGTGAATTGTAGTTATGTTTAAATTATGGTGTGACCAGGAGCTGNTGTCGAGACTACCATTCATTGACGCACTTCTGTCCGAAACTCTTCGCAATTATCCGCCTTTACTTCGACTTCAGAGGGAAGCCATGGAAGACGTAACTCTGGGCGACACTGGAGTGAAGATCGAGAAGGGAGTGATCGCTGAGATCCCTGTCTATGCCATACATCACGACCCCGACCACTATCCGGATCCGTTTACGTTCAACCCGGATAGGTTTATGCCCGAAAACAGGGATCACATCAAACCCTACACTTACCTGCCTTTCGGATCGGGTCCACTGCATTGCATTGGAATGCGATTCGCGTTATTGTCAGCAAAGCTCGCGTTAGCGAAAATCTCACATTCGTTCCGTTTCTCAAGAGTCACCGACACTGACGTCCCCGTAGTCTTCAATAAGGGGCGGTTCCTCTGTCAAGCAAAACGACTTGTTGTGGGCATTCAGAAGCGATAAAATATTGTTTTGTGTACATTTACTA